GGATACAGAAGATATAGTATCCAATGGCCTCTGAACCGTCTGTATTTTATTATATTGCATTTGTTACCCTTCAAGCTTTTCTGACTTCACTGAAGCAAAAGAGGTATGGCAATGATGCTGGTGAGAACAAGTGCAGTTTAACCATGGTGCTCTTTCCGCCTTTATGAGTAACAGCAACTCACCCGTTTGGCCTCCTGTTGGTTTGGAGGAACCTGAGAAAAATATTTAAGAATACTATCATATGATTCTAACGTGTTACATGGGAATGATTTACAGTTAAACCTGTTCATTTGGTTATTTTTGAACTGAAACTTCTTGTAACGGTAGTGAAAAATTAATTCTCAGAAGGCAAGATTCAGTGCCGCGAGGGTTGCTTTTTGAGCGCTAACAAATTATTCATAACTCCTTTTGACATTAATTCTCCACAGGTTGGCCAGTCTTGCTATTATATCCTAAGTTACTTATTTAACGATTCTTGCCGTATTTAATAATCCTATCTTAGTACTAACTACCTGGCCTACAAAGCATGAACGATTCACGTTTCATGAATGGTTCAATGGATCAATGAAGGTAGCATTGTCGCAAAGACGGAGTTACTGACTACTAACTTTTATGAACAGCGTTTTATCTTCAATTAATTTTCCCTGCATTTATTTAAATTGAATAGCACACAATGGCCGTTTTCACACTAGAGACGGATGATCCGTCTGAGACGGTTAATCCATCTTCAAAACCCGTCTCAGACGGACCATCCGTCTCTAGTGTGAATACGGCCAATGGCTGCGATACGCGTACGAAGCTTAGTTGAAAGCTGTGGTTTTTTTTTTTTGTCAAAGGCTTTTGCCACTGTAGGGACCTGGTTTTTATCAGCCATTTTTACACTACAGATTTTCCGTCTCTAGTGCGAAAACGGCTATAATATCTGTAAAGATTACCGTTAAACATTTAAAAGAAAGAATTATCTGGGGAAACATCACGTGGTCTGAAATGCGAAAACAAAACCTACAAGCTTAAAAGGTGTATAGTGAACATCACTGAACGATCTACTGTGTATAGTGATCTACTGTGTATTTCCCTGCGATACACTCTTTCAGTTAAACTTGAGCTTAACCCACCTTCGGGTACGTCAACACGTTGCATCTTGTCTTCCTTTGAACTCTCTCCATACTTGTTGCTTGCTGTTACCACTACTTTATACTTCTGGCCCATTTCGACTTTCACAACATATTTACGTACTGAGACATCAGTTATCTTTTCAGTCTCCTTCCATTGCTCATTACTTTGGGTTCCATAGTACACAGTATACACTGTGATTTCTGCTCCGTTGTTGTTTGGTTCCTCCCACTTCAAGGTTATTTCATCAGCTTTTAATTCGTATGTGAAGGCCACTGCTGACGGCACACCTTACGCACAAAGAAATGCCACAGAGCTGTTAATTTTCCTTTCAAAGTTTTTACTCGTTCTTCCTTAAATAACTGGAGTACTACTTTTGCGCATAGCTGATGTTAAAAATTGAAAAACGGAGCAATTAAGACTTTGATAATGCATGGCCAGTTGTGAAAAACATATCTACCCGTATTTAGCTCTCGATCTCCCTACTGCTCTGGCTACGCTATCATGATAAACGCTTAATACTGTCTCCATGTATTGTTTAGTCCTTCACTTCGATCAAAGGTTAGTGTGCTTTAAACAATTTTCATTGGACATTCATTTCGCACAGCATTATCAGATAATTAAGTCGTCTCGAAAGCAATAAACAGATTCACTTAGAACACGACTCAATAAAATCTATAGATTTAAGTCTTAACACTAATGATCGACAAACATGTAAGTAGCGGTATGTAGCAAAGCAGGTTTTCTTTTTTTTTTTTCTGTCGTTGTAGTTGTTGTTTTTTTGTTTTTTTGTTTGTTTTTTTCTGGAACAAGCGAAGCCTCATCAATGGATGGAGGCAGCGGAAGTAGCTGGGAAAGGGTAGGCTAAAGGCAAAGGCGTGTATTATTCAGTAAATAAACCTCTGCCGATGGCTAGTATATTGGAGGACAATGCCTACGGCTGAGAGATAAGCATTCGCTTCTCGGGCAAATGTAAAATTTTGAGGACAATCTCTTAGCCAAGGGCATTATCATCCGATATACCATAATGGGACTACTGCACTGATTCTTTCTTTATGTCGCCTTTAGAAACCAATCTGATCTTCTTCAAAAAGTACTGATTGCTTCCGCGTTCAAACGAACATAACCTTCTTGCTGTTCCTAGCTAGAGCTAACCACAAGGCATTTGGTGATCGCACCTTTGCACACTCGGGACCTTCTTCTTTGGAGCAACCTCCCTAGTGAAATACCACAAAGTGCAACTCTGACTGTTTTTAAATCAAAGTTAACGACTTACTTTTTTAGACTAGCATACAATCCTTCTTGATATTATATGTTTCTAAATTGTTTTATTTTTAACACACAAATTTTTCATCTATTTTTTTTTTTAATTTTTATCATTATAAATCTAATTTTACTATATTGCGAATGACGCAAACAAGCACAGTGATTGTTTGACTTTTTTGTTGAAACTGTGATTGGACCAGGGCTTGACTGGCTGTCTTGTCAAAGGCACTCTTGAAACGCCCCAAAGATCAAAACTCGAAATTAAAAAAGGCGTTTCTAATGGATAAGTAAAGAGAATCCAACCATATCACTAACTACTGCTGCAAGGGCTAGAAAAGTTATTAAAAGTATGAAACACAGAAACTGAAAAACCTGGAGCAGTTGAAGGATTTACATTAGTGAGGTGCTGTCAAAACCTGGATTTGTACGTTGCTGTGGATGGTGGAAGCTGAGGAAGTCATAGAAAGAAAAGGAAGAAGAACTAATTATGAGGCCCAGCTGTAAGAACAGGTTGAACTGACCGGAATTTTCCATATCTATAAATCACCTGATAATCGGAGATGACTCAAACTGATGCTCTAGTTGGTTGCGCACTGCACGACTCGGCGATCAATTAATCGTTTTCATGTCCCGCTACGCTTTTTTCTCTCTTTTCTCCATGCTGAAAGTAACAAAAAAGGCTTATCTTTGTCAACACTTGAAGTATTCTTTTCCATAGCTGACAGCTATGACTGCGTAAAAAACTGTATTCAGGTTTCTGTTCAAATGCGTAAATATAAAGCTCAATTTGAAATTTTGTTTATCTTCGATTCGTAGCTTATTTTATTGATTTCTCTGTATTTTAGTGAAACTGGATTAAACAAAATAAGTTTGTTTTTACAGCTTTCATTCTAAATTATTAAAGAGGTTAAAAACTGAAAAGAGACTGCAATTTGTTGACTTTGTCATATTCTTGCCACTGAAAAATCGTAAAGCAAATTTCTACACGGATGGAGTGCATTGCCTAACACCCGCCCGATTTCGTACCACGTGATCCGAAATAGCCGATAACATCGCGAGATAATTCATCAGTCATCGTGGATTATAACTAATACACGCTTTCTCCTTTGTTTTGGGTGTACACAGGGTCACACTGGGCGAAGGTGAAGTAAAGACACTTATCAACAAACAGATGCTTCGTATTATACGACCATTGGATGGAGTCCAATGCCACACATTATGTCTACTTTTATAGTGGAAATTTTAAAAAAGGAAAAATATACAATACACCTACCTCCCAACACCTTTATTCTCCTGATTTTTCTTTCTTCTTTCCCTCCTTCTCCAAAAATGTTTGTAGCAGAATCTGCAAATTCATATTCTTTTCCTTTTTCCAAGTTAACAACAACTTTACGATCTGACGTATCTGTAATTTCCTTTATTTTACTCCAATTCAGTGATGTGCCATCTTCACGGACAGGTCTTCGGTACACAGTGTACTGGGTTATAGGAGCTCCATTGTTTTCAGCTTCTTTCCATTTTAAGGTGATTTTAACATCTTTTGTTGCAGCCGGTAAATCTGTGATCTCCGCTGCTGCTGGGACTCCTGGGTTAAAAGATGAATGATACAAAGCTAAAAAAAACTAGTTTACTTTCAGTTGTATTGATAACCTAGCAAAATTAGGCTGCAGTTACTTGGAGTCTGCGAACGGTTGTCCTCCTTAAAAGGTTACCTCGTTTTCAATGAAGACACGCTTTGTGACAAATTATAACGAAGACTATGTAATCCGAAATTAAACAAACCCAAATTTGTATACCCGCCTAGGTTATTTAGATGAAAATGAACGTGGAGAATGCAGGCGTAGCTTTATAAAAAAACGGTTTTTTGTGAGCCAAAAAAATTCGACTATTAAACTAAACTATTATTTGCGAAGGATAAGAATAAGCTGATTTTCCTGTTGAGGTACAACAAGAGGTCTGGTCACAAATGTTGCTTATACTAGACAGAGCACAAGCTTCATAAGCTCACCTTATGGCTTAGTCCACACGCAACCGGGTATTTTTGAAAAGGGACGGATTTCTTTTCATCGTTTAGCTTTCCGCTCACGCGTAAACGGTATTTCCGGGGAATAAGAACGGTCCCCAGAGTAGCGTTTTTGAAGAAGTCAGCTCATCGTTTTCGTGTGAACGGGCGAAACGGAGGTTTTTAAAAAACGATGATGCCATACATCGTATTTCCACTGTTTTGGTGTTTTCGTGTGGACGGGCGAAAACGATTCGAATACGGCAAAGAATTCTACGTAAATACAGTGAGGTTAGAAAAAACACACACTACTGTGTCGGACATGGCAAAGCACTGGACTTTTTAAGTATATCTTTAAGGGACGCTGTCCCGATTATGCACACACGCGAAGAACGTTTATTTTTTTTTTTTCCTCGCCTTACTGCTTTTGTGAAGGTAAACTCTTCTCAGAGGTCAATTTGTGGCACCTCACAGCACTATCCTCTTTGTGACTATTGGCACATAAGGCCTTCAAAGAGTCTTCCACTTTTCTCGGTTGGCTGCTATGGATCTCACTTCGTCCGGTAATTCCTATCCTGCTTTCTTTCTTTCTTTTTTTTTTTTCAACCGTGCGCCTCCAGTTGGTCTTTGGTCTTCCTCTTCTTCTGTTTCCTTCTGGTGCCCAAGTCATTGCTGTGTTGCAGTCGCTGTTTTGGTCCGTTATTAGTATATGTCCGATCTTGTCTCATTTGCTCATTTACGCTGTTTCACCTTTTTACTCGGAAAGCAATCAATCTGGTCAATCTGGTCTAAATTGACCCTAATAGAGACCATTGTAGCCCCATCGAAAACTGTTTTGGCCCACAGGAGAAATTGTTTCAGCCGTGTGATGCGTATCGGTCCCTTTCACGAGAGCCATTTCTACTAAAAAATATAGAGACATTTCGGGTTTTAGTCTATAGTTAGCCCAGATTTAGGGCTGACTTGGCTTATGAATAGAGCTGTTTAGACCCCATGACAACGCAAAATGGCCCGACCACTAGAATCAACACCGATTTGAAGAATATATGTTCATCTAATCAGCGTCTAATTAGAAGCATTAGTTCCTAATCACTGAGTACGGGCCGCTTTATCTTTATCATGGAGAGCTTCCATAACGGGTTTGTAGTTCGAAAGAGCAAGTTAAGACATGGCTAGAGGCAAACAAGTTAACACAAGCAACGGTGCAAAGAGCCCTCAGGTAAGTCGTCTTGAGTCACAACGATTTTTTAAATGGCGCATATTGGACCGAAGATTGTAATTCTTAATCTGTCCATTTTAATATAGATAATTTTCTAGACGGAGGCAGGAGCCCATCATGGAGATGATCATGATATGGTTACAGTGTAAGAGGACGACAAAGAATGCCGTTTTTATTTTCCCCATTTTAAGGAAACATTAAAATTTAAAAGGATAGAAAAGGTAGAGGCCGAGGAAAACCAGGTAAGAACATCAGTTTTATAGGTTATTGTAATTTTGCCTTCCCGCCAAGATATAATGATAGCGCGGGGCTTGGATACGAAAATATACATGTCACTCCCATAAATCCTTGTACACTACCAAACTGCGCGCGCATGTTTGAAATGTTCAGGTGGGCTTCCATTCAATTCAACGGTCAAGTCAACGGACGCTCAATATTTTAAGCGAATTTCAGTTTGATTTTTACTAAACTCGGCTATTTTACTCCAAGCAGGAGATAGATCGTGGATAGAAGATTCTTATCAAGATAATTGCCATGTTTTTTCTCATTTGTTTCGTAAAGGATCGAAGGATTGCATCGCCGTTTGAAAGGTTTGTCGTGCAGTGCTACATTGAAACTGACAGAAAGAATTTTTATATACAACAATTTCAGACTAGTATGGAATCAAACAAGTTTTGCAGATAATAGTTTGTACATAAGTGATAAATAGATCAGCAACTTTTGTGAGTTTCAATGCCATGGACATAGTTGAAGAAAGACAATTTTGTTTACTTAGCTTTATCTTTTGACCTCAACTGCAAATCAGTTCCAATAATTAATATATTTCAAGTTTCTTTATTTTTCCACAAATTTTTAATAGAATGTTTGGCTGCTACATTTGCATGTACATAGCAAGTGGTCAAGGTATATACCAGTTAGGTGCGAAGCTTTATGCTGAGGAATCCTTTCTGTTAGGCATTGATTGATCACTTTACAGTACAGTGTAATGTATCGGTCAAATCGAAGCTTCAACATCCCCCCTACGGGCATACCCCGGGCATTTTACACCTTTGTCGTCCCAGGGAGGAGGGAATTTCATTATCAGAGTCTTCCAGGGTGTGGGGAATTTGATCCCCATACGAAGGGGGTGGGGAATTTGAATCGTAGTCTCGATTTCATGTGAAATCTCTGGGCGCTTTGCACGTGACGAGCTACTATGGCAGGTACGCAGTGTGCGTCAAACGTAGACTACATACTCACAGACTGGCAGGTAAATGAGGTAAACATTGTTGTGAAATACTCTAACAGATTTCGTATCCCTAAACTGAACTTTTAGAAGACTCAAAGTTTAAGGACAGGGAATCGTTTAAAGCATTTCAGAACAACGTTTACCTTGTTTACCTGCAAGTATGCAAGTCTGCAGCCTCCGTTTGTCGCACACCTCCTGCCCCGCATGTATGTTTATTAATAAGGTGCCGCTATGATGCACATCAGTGAAATAGTCATGAATCGCATGTATGAAATGTAGTGATCTCAGTAGGTGGGATTTTTTTATAGAACGCTTTGCATGACAAACAAAGAAAAACTGAGCCTTCAGTGTCCTTGTAGCAGCGATTTCCGCCACTTTTCAAGAGAGTTTTGTTCCTAGTAAATACACCTACAGTGTTTCTCAGTTTTTATTATATTGAATGTGAATTATTTGCTGTATTTATAAAGATTTTGTTCGACAACTGAAGGTTGTTGAACTGTTTTTTCCGTCCTTCTGTGCCTGTGAAATGCCCTCGGGGTAGGCGCATTTGATCACCCGAAGGGATCCTAATGTGGGCCATATCCGCTGAGCAGGATATGGATTTTACTATTTATCGTTACAAAGAGAGCATTCTGATGGACCGAAAGCCATTTAAAGGGTCTCATGATGTCTTATACAGGCCAGGGTACTTTAAAAAAATGAACAATTTTTCTTTTGAACAGGGTCAGAATTTGAAGGCCTCCCTTGTTCATCTCTACCCTTACGTCCCTTGAAGATCCCCCCGGATCGACTGTTGGGGTGACTGTGTTTGTTCAATTTGTTTGAAAAAAAGACAAGCAAATAAAACTAATGCGAAAGGTTGCAAGGGATGGTTTGGACAAAAGTCGCAGTATCATCATACACGTATTATTACACTGTAAATTTATCTCCAAGCGTAATAATTAGAGATGCTGTCATCATTAAATGGCCTGTCATGCAGTAGACTAAACGCGTTACGTTTACGCACACATGTCCCCTGATCTTTTTTTTGTCTTTTTCTAAAATCTTCATTTTAGCTCATTAAAGGGATTACACGTTCGGCCATAGAAGCTCATTGTAGATCATTGTAGAACATTTTAGATCATTGTAGGTCATTGTATGTCATTGTAGATCATTGTAGGTCATTGTAGATCATTGGAGGTCATTGTAGGTCATTCCTTGTTTTAGTAACTAAAGGAAATTTAGATATTCCCGCGTAAAAAGTGATAAAAAGTGTCTTTCAGTGACTACAGTGAAACACCAGCGAGTATCCCGCCATGTTTTAAACAAAGGGATTCTGACAAAACCCGCATTCTAATCCGTCACAAATATGTGAAAATAAGTCGCCTAGTACTTAAAATCGGGGCTTTGGCCTGTTATACAATGCGCTGCACACCTTCCCACGCTCCTTGGGGAGGAGCATTGGGTAACGACCCTAAGGAGACTACAAAACGTACTCGGCATATTGATTAGACATCAACTTGCTTCGTCGATCAAACGGACGCCTATGTCGGATGGACCGAAAGCGAAAGTATAGCTGCTTTTAGTACTTGGAAACAATATAAATAAAGCCTTTACAAGCAATATTGGTACACTTTGAACTTTGAAAACACAAACAAACAAAGTAGCCAGGGCAGGTTCAGTATGAAATGAAAGCACTCTTGACTGTCTTTCAGCCTCAAATTGCATTGGATTATATACTACTATCAAATTATTAACTAGTCCCAGTAAAATAAACATCTGGCCGAAAACCGACGAACTTTTCAGTTTTCTCTTGTTCGGTTGAAGATTTTCCTACGACTTTTTATCTTTCGTGACATTGCGTGTGAAGACTCACAAGACCTCACAAATGATTGACAGGAAGATCAGAAATTACCTTGATCGCGTTCGGAAGTCGATAAAAAACAAAAACTCGAAAATATGGTGAAACCTGATGCTGTGAACTACTTCGTTGCCTAGCACGTGACCGAAAGTGTTTTCACAGAAGTTGATTTGGAGCGGAGAAATCTATTACACAAATATTGTGGTTCTAGACTTACTTTGAAGATGAGAAGTGAAGATACGCTTCTTGAGAAATAATGCATTTCACTGCGTTTTCATTCGGTTACACGGCAACACTTTTTAAAATTTGAAAACGCGAAACTTGTCAAAGCAGACCACGAGGCAGCCGAGCATTTCGTTTGTCATCGAGGACCATCGACAAATCATCGTCACAACGAACGATTCTGAAAATCGGTTATCTTTTTATGCTGATTGGCTCCGAAGCATAAACCACACGATATGATACCGGGGATATCATGTTTAAGAACATCACTGCAATGTTGCTGCATTAATTTCCACCAGCTACGTCATAGTTTTGTTGTTCCGTGGATTTGTTTGTTAAGTTTCGTTATTCCGTAATGAGAAATCAACTGTGTACGTGAACTAAATACTTCTGAGCGGCACACACCTACGTATCTTGTTAACAACTGGTTTTTATGACAGGTTTTTGTTTAATTCCAGATTTAAAGAAACTCGATTTAATATATAAACTACTATTAGGGTGTGAACAGCGATAAACATGAAGGTCGATGATTATACATTCCTAGATTCACATAAAGTGCAATATTTAGTTTACGGGCTGACGGATTTTATCGTATGCTTTGTGCTGGTCACTTGTGTTAATAAAAATAAATGAATATATAAATAAATAACTGACTGTAGTGAATACAATTCTTATGCACTCTTAGTGCATTCTTAGTACGATTTTCATACCTTCATACTTGGTCTGAATTTTCCTTTCATTTGCTTTTCCCTCAAACACGTAATTTCTGGCAAACAACTTAATAGTGTAGTTTGTGCTTTTGTTTAGACCTCCAATATCTTGATGCTTGAGGGACGTATCCGTAATATTCTCATTTTCTATCTCCGTGTTGCCCCGCAGTATTAAAACTCTGTATGCTGTAATAGGACTTCCTCCATCACCAGCTGGTTTTGTCCACCTAACTCTTATTGACGTTGCTTCAATGTCCACTGTGAAGATCGGTGAGCCTGGTGCCTCTGAAGGAAAACAAAATAGGTCCGCAGAAATGCATGCATGGTATAGGGGTAATAGCAGGTCAGTAGTTTGTTTGCTTGTGCGAATCAGGGACCCCTTTCGGTAACTTTTCCGTCAGGAACCCAAATTTTAAAATTAAACGCTAAAGAACATTACTATAGCTTCCAGCTCCATTTTGTCTTGTTACCTGGTGGTTATATAGAAAGGCTACAAGACGAAAATACAGAAAAAGAAAGAACCACACATGACATAACCAACAGGAGCAGGATGGACAAGTAGAATAAATCGGTAAGACACAAAGATGGAAAGCACTACAAACCAACTACATATATTCCCTTAGACGATTTATAGCAAGCTTGATGGACACTTCATCCTGACATCAATTAAGAAATAAAACTGAGGCGATGATGACGTTGACTGGCGAAAGCTCGGATTTGGACTTTTATTATTATTCACAGAAGTTAAATGCTTCACTCTCAGATCTCGAGGCAGAGCTAAACGGTAAATTAATTAGCCTCAGGTCTACCCCCTTTAAATAAGGACGCAAAAGACAGTGTGACAATAGGGCATTGCCAAAATAAACCAATTGTATTTATTTGTGTTTCTTAGTGAAACCAACAGACGAAACGTTAAAAATACCAATATACAGGTGGATGACCATCTTTATGCTTCTAAGCATCATAATAAGGCTGTATATAATACACCCAACATCCAGGTATGTGGATTAATGGGCCTTTTTGGTCTTGTTTTGTGTTTGATTGTAAACATCTACAATACATAAATACCTGCAATTAGGATGAAGTATCACCCTAGCGATATATATTTCTGCAGTCTGCGCAAATATTATTAAACACCTTGCTAGAGCGCGGATGACAAAGTGGGTTTCGGAAGGACGGGAAATTCGCCTTATAAATGACGTAATCGTGGTGTTTTTCTTGGCCATGCTCAAGGAGTTTTTATCCCAAGAGACTGCTTAGCTGCAAAGGCCCCATACCCCTTGATGCATATTAATAATGAAAGAAGTACTTGCAAGCATCACGCAAACGGCAAAATGACAGAATCACAGATATTTATATACAACAAATGAAAAGATATTCCACTTACTTATCTGCTGGACCAGCACTGTGCTTGTATCAGTATTAACATCACTAGTGGCCTCGCATGTGTAATTACCAAAGTCCTGATCAGTTTTCATCAGCACACCTACTGTTGTTTTCAATTCTTTTTCTTGCTGTATTACTCTCCCACTCGGGCTTTTCCAAGATAAAGTTGGCGTCGGGGAACCATCTGCCTTACACGTCAACTTTACAGTTTGTCCAATCCAAGAATTGGATGTTACAGGAGCGACCATCTCTACTGTAGCTGCATCTGTGAAATACAATCATGCCACCAATCAAAGGCTAAAATATTGCTGAAAAATATTGCTATTGTTTTCGATGCAAATCTCAGGGCTGAGCTGTGTTGTGATTGTTCTCTTAACACTGATCGTACGTTACAATTAATTTCTTTCTTATTTTAATCTTCATTTATTTTTATTATTTTTTTAAGTTAAGGGAGGAAAAATGACTGCTTTCTACCAAGGTACCATATGAGGGCGACAAAAAAAAAGTCGGCAAAAAAACTACCAATAATTGTTTTAAGTTATCGTACGAATGAGCCTTAAAATAAAGTGAAGAAAAATAATTAAATAAATATATAACTTAGATCACTAACTTACAGTTTACACGGTTAAGCTCATATAGCATAGTATAGCAAATGTACGTCTTTCTTATCGGAAAAAAAGGTGACCATTAGAGGACATACTTCATTTGATAGGTTTAACTGCTTTTACTGCTGAGACCATAATCCATTCCAAATCGCCATGCATAATGAAATAAATAATCGTACTCACATTGTACAGTAATGAAGACATCACGGATTTTAATACCAAAACCATTATCAGCAGTGCATCTGTAACCTCCTTCATCTTGTCTCCTGATGGCCAGAGGAAAGGTGACGTGACTTTTACTAACGAGTCTTGTCCATGTAATGTTTGGAGGTGGATTACCATCAGCTGTACAGTTAAGTATCACCTTATCTCCCTCATTTGCTGTCTGATTATGAGATACGAGTGTTATATTTGGTGGACCTAACAAGTCAATAAAAGCATAGTAAATGAAGACCTTAAGTAGTTGGCAAGGATGTTTTAGGACAAAAGCTTCCAGAGGTCAATTTTATAAAACTTTTACAAGTGTAAGTCACAAGTGTAGCCATTGTTTGAGGGTCTGAAAATAATAGCTACACTTGTATTGTAAATTACATTAAATTGACCCCAGGTTTGTGTGAAATGCACATCGCCATTAAGCGATGCTTTCTGAAAACGGTCACCTCCGTCGTAAATATAAAAACGTTTCAAGGTCAACATCTATACTTGTGTTTTAATTTCCCGGCCCCGGGGGTTTGAACCGTCATAACCTTTTTGATCGGATGTTCGTAAAGATGGCACATAATGAAACCATCAATGAAACAATTCGCTATATAGCTTAAACCTTTTGGCAGTTAAAACTCAAGAATCAAGGCAAACGGCTCACAAGATCTCCCTTATAAATATTTATTATTGTGAAATCCTTAATCATTAAAATTTAGCGTTAGTGGTTTACCTCTCCCAGTCATGGTCCATAACTGAGTATTTCTCATTCTTGAAGCGCTCACCCAAAGAGGAGCCATTTGTACTTGTAGTATCGGAAAGTCCCAATAATTATACAGTTAGAGTCTTTTTGTAGACCAACGTTTGGAAACATCGTAAGAAAAAAAAACGCGAATTACATTTCGGTAAAATCGGACAATAGCACACCACAGCCGTAGTATAGCGGAATCGGGAAAAATCGTAAAATCGGAGACTTGTATTCATTAAGGCGTTTTCATAAAATCGGACAATAGCACACTACGCAGTCAATCTGTAGCGCTAAACCAGAGAAAAATATCCTATACTATTTTCTGACTTGGCACTAATCGCATTGCTCTGAAGCTGACTTCTACACAGCCGTTCTTCTTCTGTCCAACCGTTAGTCACTGTCAAAAGCAGTCCTATTCAGGACTACACTTACCCGGACGATCATAGCCCACCTAATTATGAAGATATATGAAAATTTACAATTATTTCACAAGTCATATCTCGTCCTTGCACTAGAAACTAAAATTCTATAAAAAGATACATACCTACAACAACTAACTGCACGAAGTCAGGTATTTCCCGCAAATTTGGGTTATTAGGTTTTAGCAAACATCCATAAACTCTCTCATCATCTTTTGTAAGATCATAAATTGTGAAGCTGGCCTGACCAGAAGATGAGCCACCCGAGCGAGTTCCATTCACACGACCTCTGTATTCAACAGGGACTGATCCAGGTGGCACCACATCGACACCACGGCCGTCTAAGGATACCAAATCCTTGTCAATGTCCGTTCCAACCTCATTCGCCAATCCCCAGGCTACTGTGTCAACTCCACCAGCAAATTTCCATTCGAATGTCACAGAATGACCGATCCTTCCTGACACCTTCTTCTTAGCATATGATGTTGTGAATCTCAGCGACTGCCCTTCAACACAAACAAAATATAGATATTTAAGTTGGGAGACAGTAAAACTCTATTGTCAACTGGATTTACTTGCCATAACAAATGGTTTTCTTTAAGTTGTCTTATTTTTTAAACCAGGTAAACTCACTGTACTAATTAACATTTTTAAAATTAATTTGGACGCTACGCAGGCTGGAACCACGCAAAAGTTTTGAAATTCAAAATTGACTTTTTGGAAAAGAGACTATACGTATGTGTTTTAAAATTTCAGAATATCAATGGCAATGTCACCATTTAAAAAGAAAAAATAGAACAAAAGTTGTAAATCTGAGTATTCACTAGGTTTGCTGCTGATCATCATGATCTTCTGGTGGTGTGCCAAGTTGGGTGCTTCTTTATAGCGAACAGATCAACGACTTCTTATAGACGAATGTATTTTAAATAGTGCACGCAAATCGTATTTCTCTTATACAATCATGGACAAAAGTCTTGGGACACTTTTGCGTTTCTTGGCCCAGTTGCATAAAACGCCGGTAACAACTACGGGTATAGGTACGTGCACTAGTAACTTAAGTGAGTTGCATTAAATCATTTAAGTGGCCCACTTAGGGAATTCACTTAAGTGGTTGCACTTACGATTTTCGTAAGTGTTCACTTAAGTGTCGTTTGTGCAACAGAAATTGCGGGTGTTGCATAATTTTTTTTTACGGGAATAATAGTACGTAAATTTTCGGGACCTATGTAGGTCCCGTATCGTTACTGTTTTTACTAAAGTTAACGAGATCTTTTACTGAGAAGTGAAAAAAAGGAATTTTTCTTCACGTAATTCGTTCTAATACGCTTTGTTAACCTCTGATGTACACTTTAAAGCCGACTTTGTGAAAAAAGAAGAAGAATTATCATTTTCAGTAGACATTGAGGAAAAACAACGATTGCATGGAAATTTCATTTTTTTGAGAGGCTTAAAAGTGTTCGAAACGAATTAAAACTTTCTTTACACTCACTGATGGTCAGCTTAAAAAAGAGTGAGTCATTAATAAAGTACTATTAATATCAAAGTTAGATGTGCCTTTAAGTGAGCCCGTAAGTTACCACGTAAAAGAGTAACTTACGAGAGTGCTAAGTGCGTTTCATGCAACACCCGTAAGTGTATCCATAACGGATTCGTAAGTGACTCACTTAAGTGGGCACTTAAGTGTAGGTTTTATGCAACCTGGCCCAGAGGCGTTTTCCGATTGACATCCCCTCACCCCACAAACAATATTGGACGCCTGTATCCAGAATGTTTTCCTTATAGGGTGGGGGGAGGGAGAACTCCAAAAACATTTAGAAAGAGATGCAGTTCTAAGAGGGAACCGATCCGAGAAATGACAGAAAATATGAATATTGCAGTACTGTCCCAAAGACTTTTGTCCAGGGCCCGGTTGCATAAAACGCCCGTAACAACTACGGGTACACGTACGTGCACTCGTAACTTAAGTCAGTTGCATTAAATCACTTAAGTGGTCCACTTAGAGAATTCACTTAAGTGGTTGCACTTACGATTTTCGTAAGTGTTC